TATCAAGTGTGAAGCAATTACATCTAATTAAAGAAATAATAAAAACAGTGAACATTCATACAGCACTTGTTCAATACTGTGTTAAGCCCTTTACAATCACGTGATTCTCCAACAACCCTGGGAGGTAGGTGTTATTATTATCTCTTTACAGAACAATAAACTAAGGTGAACAGACATAGGGTTACTTGGCTTTGGAGTCACTCAGCTAACAGATCTGAAATCAAATCAAACCCAGACTTACAATCGCTAATGGTAACATTTTAATTTCCTGGGCCCAGTACTCTTAGCACTTCATTTTTATGTTATTATATTTTATTTTATTTTATTTTTTTTAGGCAATTGGGCTTAAGTGACTTGCCCTGGGTCACATAGCTAGTAAGTGTCAAGTGTTTGATCTGAGGCCGGATTGGAACTCAGATCCTCCTGAGTTCAGGGCCGGTGCTCTATCCACTGCACCACCTAGCTGCCCCAGCACTTCAAAAGAAAAGAGATTATTATCCATAAATTCATTTATTTCAATCTTTTAAAAGACATGTGGTGACAATTCCCAGCTCCATATAATCTTTTCCTCTACTTCCTTAAAGAGCTGGATCAATTCTCAATGCCCTGCCTCCTTTACCTTTCTTTGAGACTTACCAGGTAAGAAGCTGGCCAAGTGTTCAGCCAATATCGATATATATGTAGAAAGACAGAAAGTATGACACACAGTTTGAATTCACACCTGTTATCATGAGGTTAGCTTAAAGTGTGATGGGCAAAGTGTTCTAAGCTACTGCTTTTAGAATTTCTTACTCTAACAATCCAGGTGAGTGATTTCTTTTCTCAAGGGGTTTTGATGGCTAGGTGTGGCCAGTGTTCCCAAGCAGAGAAGTCTTTGAGAGCTTTCACAGAGGGAGGTAATGAAATAATTCTCAGTTTGAACACCATATGGAAGTTTTTAAGATATTTTATAATAATCACAGATCACAATAACATACATATATGGATATTTACCATAACCAACATTTACATCGTGTTAGATTTACTATGGGCTTCATACAGATTATCTTGCAAGGTGGGTGGACAGGATGCTTATCTGACCTTACTCTTTAGACTCTTTAGCTAGTTAAGGACTGATTTCAAAAAATCTTTTCCTTTGCAATTTCTGGTTCTTAACTGAAGTCAAAACACTGCACTGGAACCTTGTCTGCTACTGATTTTTCAACACATTTACATCAGTCTTTTAACAATAAAATGCATAGCCCAGAGAAACGAAACAAGAGTTTACATTTCTAACAGTATTTCCAACACAATGAATTATCAAATTAAGGTTAGGCACTTTTCTTTACCACATTACAAATTAGATAACTGAGGTACCTTGGCTTACTAACAAACTTTCTGACCCATACTGTAGAAAAATAATAACAGTAGATAATAACATATTTCACTTAACATGAAACCAGAATACATCCAATTACACTTGGGGAGACTCTCTGGGAGTCAGGCATGAGGAGAATGGCCAAGGCAGGTTTCAGGAGGAGTTACCTCTTGAGAAATGTGGGCTGTGGATAATGGTTAAGGTCTTGGTCAAGGTCATCATCTGGCAGCAGGAGGAGGATGATGAGGAGAAGAAGGAGCAAGCACTCTTCCTTGTCAGACATGGGGACAATCGTCGAGTCAATCTAGGAGAGAAGTTACCTCCTGGGAGTTCAGGGCTGTGGATAATCATCAAGACCATAGTCAAGGTCAGTCTTGGGGGAAGGGGGGGAGGAGAAGGGAGGGGGTCAGGCCTGGGGAGAATGGCCGAGGTCAATCTAGGAGAGAAGTTACCTCTTGGGAGTTCAGGGCTGTGGATACTCATCAAGGTCGTGGTCAAGGTCAGTCTTGGGGGAGGAGGGAGGGCGGGGCTCTGGGGAGAATGGCCACCCTACCCCCGGCTGCCGACCAGGCCTCCCACCCGGGTCGGCTCGGCCAGGTGGGAGGGCGAGGCCTTTGGGCCTTCCCTGGATGGCTGCCCTGGGGGTGGGGGGGATGGGGGAGCCGGACACAGGGGCACTCACCGCCAGCCGGGGCTAAGGTGGACGGGCGGGGCAGCGAGAGAGGACGGACGGACGGACGGAGGGATGGACGGACGCAGGCTTCCGCTGAAGGAAGGAAGGAATCAGGGGAGAAGGCTCGGGCCCCCGCGCCCCCCCTCCACGAGCGCGTACCCCCAAGGACCCCCTCCTGTCCACTCACCCACCGGCCTCGACGACGACGACGACGACGACGACGAAGATGAGCAGGACGGTCTCGGGCACCTGAGGAGACTTCCTGCCGTGTGGTAGGGCGGGGCTTGCAGGAAATAGGGGGGAGGGGAGGCACGTGGCCGGCCGCCTCACCACCCGGGGCTCCTCCGCGGGGGCCGCTTCCGCCTCAGCACTCACGGGCAGGGGGGAGTCCTCCTCCGCACCCCTTCCCCTCCATCGCCCCCTACAGGTCCAGAGACTAACGGCACCCACGGTGAACAAGAGGCCTCCCTTCCTCCCCCCCCCCCCCCCCCCCCCCCCCCCCAAGGGAAAAAAAAAAAAAAAAAAGGCGGCCTGGGAGCCCAGGCAGGGGAGGGAACGGGGCAGGGGGTCGTAACAATTGCTGCTAACTGCTGAACTGCAGAGAGAGAGGCCATGCATTTAATTATGCTGGCCAAGCTTGGCCCTGGAGCAAGCAGCCTCAAATGCCCCTGCCTGTGCCTGAGAAAGGGAGGAGATGGTTGTGTGGTCAGATGGACACCAAGAATAATAACAATAATCACAAACGTTGTATAGCACTTGCAGTGTGCCAGGTGCTTTTCAATCATTTGATCCTCACAACAGCCCTGGGAGGTCGATGCTGCTGTGACGCCCATTTTACAGAGGAAGAAACTGATGCAGGCAGAGAAATGCTTTGTCCAGCTATGTCACACAGCTGAGAATGTATCTGAGGCCACATTTGAACTCAGGACTCCCTGACTCTGGGTCTGAATGGCCAGGCTCAAAGAGTAGGTTTGCTGTGAATGGCTTAATGTCAGCATAGCAGGAAGTCTTCAGTAGAAGGGTGCCCCAGGGATCTGTTCTGTCTGTGTTTTTTGTTTTTTGTTTTGTTTTTTTTTTATCAGTGATTTAGATCAAGGTTTAGATGGCAAGGTCATCAGGTTAGCAAATGACACCAAGCTGGGAAAGAGAGCTAATACTCTAGACAGCAGAGTCAAGCTCCAAATGGATGCCAAAAGATGAGAGCATTGGGCTGACCCCAAAAAGGTGAAATGTAAAAAAAGAGACATAGAATGTTGTGCTCCTGGGTACAAAAAGTCCAATTCACAAGTACAAGATAGTAACAGAGAAGAAACCTGGAGAAGAGACAGGTACTCTGGAAAAGGTCTCGGAGTTTCCATTGGCTGAATGCTTAATGTAAGTGTGCAGAGTAATGCACTAATGGGGTCTTGGGCTACTTGAGGAGGGCACCACTTCTGGGGTGCTGAGGGAGGTGATGTTACCATTGCACTCTGACCTCAGTTCAGAACTGGGTTCAGTTCTGGGTGACAAGAGATGCCTCTCTTTCCAAACCTTTCTCTCCTCTATGGTGCCTGAATGGTCCTTCACTGAAGATTCACCCTCAGACCCTCAGAACATCAGAGAAGGAGGGAGAGAAACTTCACATGCCAAAGAAGGGTGCCAAGCCCAACTCACACCTGGGAAAACTGAGGCCCTGAGGTGGGAGGGCACTTGCCCAAGGTTGCTTAGCTGGACAGCCTCTGTGTCTCTAGGAATTCTCAGTTGAAACAAAATCTCTCCCACCCCCTTCTCCACCCAAGAGGAGTTGCTGGATTTTATACTGACCTAATGGCATGGTTTCATTCATAAGGAATGTGCAGTGAGAAAGTGCTTGCCACCAGGGCAGATGATTTCTGTGTAGGGAGGCCAGATAGTGAAGCCTCAAATTCAGGCCTCTGGGAAAGAACAGTGAGTGTAGCTCCCTCTGCCTCAGAGTTCCTGTTTGTTGGGCTGAAGATAGATGGCCTCTAAGGTACCTAATCCTATGTATTTTTTCCTGCAGAAGCCCAATCTTATCCCCTTCCTCTTGGACCCAGAACAGTTGTAAAGTGTGAGGGGGTACACATGGGAGGGGGACCCGGGACTGAAGCTGACCACTGGCAGTGAAAAAAATTGCAAGGATTCCTGAGCTCTCTGGTCAAGCTATGATCAATTCCTCCCTGTTCCTTCTAGCTCATGGGGTCACCAGGACACTTACTGTTGAAGGGAACCACCTTCCACTGGGGGTGGGAACAGGAGGCTGCTACTTGTGGTTCTGATATCAGCTTCCCTGCTGGGGCCTCTGACCCTGAGGTAGAAGCCTCAGGGCCACTCGGTCTGAGTGGCCAGAACAGAGACCCCCTGAAATGCACTCCACCCCCAACCCCCTCTCTTCCCAGAAGATCTGCTCCACCCCCAACCCCCTCTCTTCCCAGAATCGTACTTTCCTCTATTTCTAGTTGGCATCAGAAGAAACTTGTCCTGTCACCTTGACCCAGAAGCTTTTTTTGGACCCTTGGGCCACCATAGAGACCTTGAAAGAATGGGGATGCGCGCTAACCCAACCCCATTTTTTTAACCCATCCTCCTTCTGAGAGGCCTGGGTTTTATGGGGTTAGAGTGGATCAACACCAGCCCAGAGGCAAAGCTCAGTATTAATAGATTACAAGCTGGGTGAGCCCCTGGGGTCTACTGCAATTCTTAGAACTATAAACACACACTTTTTAATTTTTGCAGCAAAATTCATATATTTTCAATACTTGTAACAGACCTCTGAAAGAGGAACTTTCCTAGACATTTGTCAATACAGAAAGTAACTTTTTTTTCCTATCTAAATGTGTATTGGAATCAACATAGCAAACATCAGAACAGTTTACTAATTGGAGCATAGAGACAAAGCATGTGTGAGAGAAGCATGGTGACATTGCAAGAAAGGGCAGGTAACCAGCCCCATGTACCAGATTAACTCTGTTAAAGTGGTGACATCTGGCACTAACAATCATCAATCAAGATCTTTGGTCTGAGCATTAACACAGTTCTTAAGTGCTGAAGTGTGGAACCACCAGAATGCAAAGTACACCTCTTGCCTTGTGGTCATCTTGGCAGGCAGGGAAAGCTCCTACTCGGCAGCCCAGTCTCTATGTCCATTACTGCAAACACTGGTTACTGTTTTGTAAGGGGAGAAGAGGCTTCCTCCATGGAAATAGTTAACGGAAAATTTAAAGGAAAAACATCAACCCTGAAACAATGCAAGCACAATACAGGAACAGATCATTTTGGCAAGATGTGGACTGATGTACTCAATAGATTGGCTCCAAGAAATGCTAATTTGGCAGGAGCCAAGACCACCAAGCCCTTACTCAGCTTTTGGCTGGTACTCAGCAGGGGCCAGCTGGTAATCAGTGGCTGCTGTAAATAGCCGAGAAGTATCCCTGGCCAGATACTCCAGGAAATCTTGCAAATGGCTCATTAGCACATCAAGGCTGTCTTCACTCAGACTAGACCAGGTGAACATGGGGCCCAGATGCTGGAAGAGGCGCAGCAAGTGAGCACCTCCATAGATCTGGGACATCTGGCAAGTGGGGTAACAGGCCAGAACCTCAGCATGTTGTTGTTTCTCGAACTTGTAGAGCAGCTGGGTGCCCAACACCAGGTCAAAGTACTCTTTGATCATGGCTACCAATGCACTGACGGCATACCTTTTGTCTTGGGTTTGGCAGTTTGGCTGGAAGGTGACATACTCTGTCAGGATGACGGTGACGGTCTTCTTGGCGGGCAGGGTGAAGAGCTTTCTCCTGAGGGTCACCAGCTCCCAATCTTGCATGAGCAGGGGCCTTAGGGCCGTGGGCAGGTGGACCTGGACTTCCTTCCTGCCCAGGGATTCTTTTTGTGGGCCCACAGCAGAGCCCCTGCCTCTACATGGTAGGTACCCTTCCCTTGAACAACACTCAGCCTACTTCTCTTGGGGGGGGGGCTGCATCATTCCACCCCCAGAGGTGCTATTTTCACTCTGATTGCTGCCTCTGGAGGAGGTGACCTGGTGGTCATCCTGCTGCTCCCTTTTGGCAGCCATCTGAAGTCTGGCATTACTCTCCTGCTTCAAATGGGCAGTAGAGTAGCGGAGCACCCAATTCTCGGGGATCCATTCATAATTCCAGCCACTGAGTATGGGGCAGAACAGCCTTTGGGAGGCTACATTGAGGGCAGGGGGTTGTGAGCCCAGACTACTGGTGCTGGCTCCCTCCCTTCCCTGGAAAATGTGCACACTGCTGCTGCTGCTCCTTCCACTGGAAGCCCCCAAAGGTGTGGTGCTAACCTGGCTGGTGCTGGGGAAGCTGGTGCGGCTGATAATGCTGGGAGCTCTGGTGATATAGAAACTGTAGCTAGTAGGGGCACTGCCACTGGTGCTGGAGAAGCTGCCTCTGGAGCTCTGGAAGCTGCCAGTGGTACTGGGGCCATCACCACTGGTTCTGGGGAAGCCGGTGCTGGTACTGGGGCCATCGCCGCTGACACCTGGGAAGCTGCTGCTGGTACTGAGGAAGCCAATGATAGTGCTGGGGACCCTGGTGCCGGGGTCGTCACCGCTGGCGAATGTGCTCCTGGAGGTGCTCTGGAAGCCGCTGCTGGTACTCTGGAAGCCGCTGCTGGTACCGGGGCCTCTGGGACTGGAGCCATCGCCGCTGGTGCTCAGCCGCTGCTGGTACTAGGGAAGCCTCTGCTGGTGCTGGGGTCCCTGGGGCTGGGGCCGTCGCCACTGGTGCTGGGGAAGCCGCTGCTGGTGCTGGACCCATCATCGCTGGTGCCGGGGAAGCTGCTACTGGTTCTGGGGCCCCTGGTGTTGGGGACATCGCCGCTGCTGCTCTGGAAGCCACCGCTGGTGCTGGGGAAACCTCTGCTGGTGCTGGGGCCATCACCACTGGTGAGTGCGCTACCTCTGAAGCTCTGGAAGCCGCTGCTGGTGAATACGCTGCCTCTGATGTTCTGGAAGCTGCCGCTGGTGCTGGGGCCCCTGGTGCCGGGGCCATCGCCGCTGGAGAGTGTGGTGCTCTGGAAGCTGGGGAAGCAGCTGGTATTGGGGGAGGCGCTGCTAAGGCTCTGGAAACTGCCGCTGATGCTGGGGCTACTGATGCTGGGGCCATTGCCGGGGTAACCGAGGCTGATACTTCGGAAGATGCCGGTACTGGGGAAGCCTCTGATGATGCTGGGGCTGTCGTCTCTCGTGCTGGGGAAGCTGCTGCTGATGCTAAGGTGGGTAGGAATAGGGCCGCCACTGCTGCGCGCGCTCTCCCGGATGTTGGGACTGTAGTCCTCGTCGTCTTCATCATCGTCGTCGTCTTTGTTTTCATCATCGCTTATGTTAGGGAAGCTAATGCTGGGGAAGCCGCTTCTGGTGCCACAGAATCGAAAGCCACTACTGGTGCCAGAGAAGCGGAAGCCGCCACTGGTGCTCTGAAAGAGGCAGCTACTGCTGGTGCTGAGACCGCCGCTGGTGCTGGGGTAGCCGCTGGTGCTGGGACCGCCGCTGGTGCTGGGACCGCCGCTGGTGCTACTGCTGCTAGGGTAGGCTTTCTGGCCCCTTGGAAGGGGTTCAGGTCTCAGGAGTGGTGAGGGCAGCTGGGGAGGTGTACAGGGGTAGGCAAAAATACCCTCACTGACTAAACTGACGCTGCTCTGATAACGTACTAGGTATTTGACCTGCTTGTCCTCTACGTCTACCCGGATACACTGGGCCTTGCGCATCGTGGACCCATGGAAGATCAGCACAGGCTCCCCTACTTGGACAGCGGGCGGGTCCCTTACCGATTTATCCTCTTGCTCGGAAGAAGCCATTTGGGGCCTCGATCACATCTACGGCCTGCTTCTGCTTTCCTCGACAGCTGGCTCTCACCTCCTCCGGTCTCTGACTGGCACACGGGCTGTGGAGGCAATGGGAAAGGGCAGGGGCCGGCCGTCGGGGCTAGCGAGCTCGGAGCTGGCGGACAAGCTGCCGACTCCCTCGCTCTCCCCGACGGTGTGTGGCGGGGACGGCGCCGACCGCGCCCTTTTGGTTGCCTGAAGCGCCAATGATGTGGGGGAAGGGGGGAGATTCCCGGGTCTGAATGCAAAAGTCAGTTGACTGGCGGTGCCTTCCCCTCCACAGACCTCAGTTTCCCCATCTGCAAAAGGGAGAGCCTTTGGGCAATAACGTTCAGACTAGGCCTATGCTTGGGTTTAAGCACAATGTGGAAGAGGCCCGGGCCTCTCGGCACTAAATAAATTTCTCCTCAGCAAGTGTGAGGGGAGGTTACACCGCCATGCACGGGTGTGTCTGAGTGTGTAATGGGGGGAGTGAGAGAGAGGGCTCCGTTATCCCGAAAAATGCGTTTCCTTTTAGCACGTTATCAATATATTCGTTCATCATTTCTGAAAAGGCACTTTTTAAATAGACATTTTCCAGTGAGTGTGCAAAATAACTGAGTTAGAGACATTCTTGCACCACTGTGAGAACACAGTGCTCTTTCTGAGCCCCCCCCATAAAAAAACCGGTAACATGATGAAATTATTCTTTTGTGTGCTAGATTCATGGTCTCACTCAGAGGTTCCCGCCATTTATTTTGAGAAACAGCATACACACATATTGTGCTGGAATTTAGGCCCGGGATTCTTTTTCAGCAGGTGTGGGGGAGGAGTGGGCACTGATTTTTTTTTTTTTTTTTTTTTTTGCAATTGGGGTTAAGTGACTTGCCCAGGGTCACACAGCTGGTAGGTGACAAGTGTTTGGTCTGAGGCCGGATTTGAACTCAGGTCCTCCTGACTTCAGGGCCGGTGCTCTATCCACTGGGCCACCTAGCTGCCCCTGGGCACTGATTTTTGACAAAGATTCACTGCTTCTGATCTGCTTTGGTTCTGCTCCGTCTTGTTTGTGCCCCAGAGTCATGGTCAAGCACCTCCATTCTACCTGGCAAATGTGGGGAAAGGGCTCATAGGGAAGCAAATCCAGATATCCAGCCAAATGGCCATCGCATTCTTCTTTGGATGAACCCCCTGAGTGACAACAAGTGGGATGCCCCAGACCCAGGACAATGACTCTAAAAAATGGTGCCTACACAGTAAAAAACGTACTTTTCATTCTCTTGTTTTAATTCTGGAGGAATGGTTCTGTTAACATTTTTCCCCTGCTCTATAGCTGAAACTCAATTATAAATGACACCTAAAAAAAGTCTGGAGATGACTTCCTGACCCCATTTGGGGTTTTCTTGGCAGAGATATTGGAGTGGTTTGCCTTTTCCTTCTTCTGCTCATTTACAGATGAGGAAACTGAGGCAAACGGGGTAAAGTGACTTGCCAGAGTTACATAACTAGTGAAGTGTCTGAGGCCAGATTTGAGCTCATGAAGATGAGAGTCTTCCTGAACCCAGGCCTGGCATTCTACCCACTGTTGCCATAAAACAACAGTACTCTGAAGTAAATATTTTTTAAAATCAATAGCATAAACACAGCCCTCAGCTTTACAGATTTCAAATTGTAATGTATGTGATCAGTGTAATTGAGTCTTATTTATGGTGTTAAATCCATTGGAATGAAATATACTTCACCCTTTTGGGGAGGCTAAACTATTTTAATTCTGTAAAGTTTTTTTTTAAAAATCAGAGCAGATGCTGTAGATTAGATCATCCCTTAGGGCTCTTTCCACTCTTAATCTGTGACCTCTTGGACCAAGACTATCGGTCCCTGGAGGGGGACATAAGGGAAGGACTGTTGTATTTGGAGCCGAAGGGCCCCAGTTCAAATCTATGCCAGGACACCTCCTAGCTGTGTGTCCTTAAAGAAGCCCTTTTCCATCAATGGGCCTCAGTTGCATCCTCTGTGACACAAGGGGGATTCTGATAGATGGCCTCTAAGGTAATGTTCAGCCCTCTTGTTCTATGATTCTGTTTCCCCTTTGACACTGGCAGGACCTTCCATTTGTAGGGCCCTGGCAAGACTCCTGCAGGTGTCCTGAACCAGATAAAATCGAATTGGGAAGTGTTTAACCAAATAAATAAATAAATACATTTCAATACAACATAGATAATGTTAATATGTGTTTTTTGAAGTTAATATGCAGCCCCCAGGGACCCATTTCTTTTTTTCTTCTTTTTGGTTGGGCAATGGGGTTAAATGACTGGCCCAAGGTCACATAGCTAGTAAGTGTTATGTGTCTGAGTGTGGATTTGAACTCAGGTCCTCCTGAATCCAGGGCTGGTGCTTTATCCACTGTACCACCTAGCTGCCCCCGAAGGGATTCATTTCTATTGGAGTTTGACACCACTGGATAGAGTATTAGTTGTGTGACTCTGGGCAAAGCCCCTCTCCACGACTAGTTTTCATTAGATGACCTCTTATGTCCCTGCAGGGCAGAAAGGGAGGGAGCCATTTGTGAAGCATGGCCCTGACACGCAGGGACAGCAGGCACGGAAGGAGAGCAGACTCCAGTGGGAAATGGGCATCCCCCAGTGTTCCCAGCTCCACGGGAGGCAGGGGACTTGGGAGCTTAGCAGGATGAACAGGCCAATCCAGGGTCCAAAGCCACTGCCTCAGGGCTCCAACTGAGGGAGAGTTGTAGACAAAGAGCTGACATGGCACTAAGAGGCCTCCTGTCACCAGGGAAGCAAGGCCAGCCCTGGATTGCTCCCACCGACCACTACCCTCCACGTCTCTTATCAGGTGTCAGCTGGGCCCCAGAGAGTGTGGCAAGGCAATCCTCCTGGTTCCAGATTGATTCTCTATGCCATTCACCATAAACGGGAGTCTTGAGTCTGTTCCACACCTTCTCTTCTCCCCTCAAACCTCCTAGCCCAGGGGTGGGGAACCTGCGGCCTCGAGGCCACACGTGACCCTCTAGGTCCTCAAGTGTGGCCCTTTGGCTGAGTCCAAACTTCACAGAACAAATCTCCTTAATAAAAGGATTTGTTTTGTAAAACTTGGACTCAGTCAAAAGGCCAAACCCGAGGACCTAGACTAAGGCCACATGTGGCCTGGAGCCCACAGGTTCCCCACCCCTGTCCTAGGGCATCGCCTCTCCTCCTCTTCCCTCCTGAGCTCTCAGCTGAGCATCTTGCCTCCTATGTCATTGAGCTTGCCCTTCTCAGCTCACATCCCTCTGACAATCTCCTCCTTGAGGCCCCTATCTCTGATGGAGAAGTGGTCCTTCCCATCTCCCACCCTCCCCATCTTCTCCAGCAAATTGTCCCCACCGTCATTTCCCACCTCTACCCTTACCCCCCATCTTCAATCTTTCCCTGTCTTCTGGTTCCTTCCCTGACGCCTACAAATGCAGGGACTCCCTTACCTATTTTTCTATATCTCTCCCAACCTCCTTTCTCTGTTAAAGTCCTTGAGAAAGCAACCTACACTCCACTTTCTCTCCTTTCACTCTCTTCTAAACTCTCTGTAATGTGACTTCCACCTGTCACATTCAATTATGATCTCTTAATTGCCAAAATTAGTCATTAGTCGTTATCCTTCTTGACACCCCTCTCTCTGTCTGTCTCTCTCTGTCTCTCTGTCTCCCTGTTTCTCTGTCTGTCTGTCTCTGTCTCTGTCTCTGTCTGTCTCTCTCTGTCTCTCTCTTTGTGTCTCTCTCTCTCCTCCCTCTTCCTCCATAGCCACCTTGCCACTCTAGAGAAACCTCTAAGACCTCACTCTCCTGATTAATGACTGCCTGTCCAGACCACTATTTCAGGAGAGGCTGGGCCATGCTGCATTTCATTCAGGACACACGCCTCCAATGTCTCCAGACATTTTCTTCTTGCTTCCCAAGGGGCAGTGTTCGCTTACTCCAGCCCCTTGGTTTTCAGCAGTGTGTTCCCGTAGAATATAAGCCCCTGAAAGGTACAAATTGTCTTGCTTGCTTGTATTTGTATCCTGGGGCTTAGCATCATGCCTGGCATATAGTAAATGCTTAATAAAAATGCGTGTGCGAGCACTCTCTGTCTCTCTCTATCTTTTTCTGTCTCTCCATCTCTTTCTCTTCTCTCTGTCTCTGCCTTAAAATGTCCCTTAAAATGCAAAATGAAACATACATTTTTGGAAATGGCCATTATAAAAATTAATTTTGCTTGATTATGCAGATTTGTTCTGAGGGTTTTCTTTTACTTTCTTTTTTTATTGCTCATTTGGAGTGGGGTCATTGGGAGTAGCAAGAGAAAAAAGTGCTTGTTAATTGGACAAATAATAAAAATTTGAATAAAAAGATGTTTCCAAGAACAGGATTTCGATTTCTGGAGCATAACTTAAAATCTGAGTTATAACTGAGAATAGAGTGCACCTAAGCAGGGTCAATAGAAACATATTGTAACCGGTAATGAGAACTGGGGTCTGACACATTTCTTGGTTATTCACGCAGCCTCAGACTGCCACTTAAGGCACAGCTCTGCATTTAATTTATTAATCTCAAGCGCTCTAGTGATCTAAGGTTATGGGGATGATTTATTTTTCATTCATAAAATTGCAATCCCTTTTCATTCACGAACTAATTAAATCAAGACCACAGTCTAATAGGTTAGATAGTCATTTTTCAATGAACTAGCTGTAAGTGTCACCTCTGGGGGCACCTCAAACCACCACAATATCTGTCCTGCATATTTAAGATCGAGTGTTGGGAGAAAAACGATGGAAGGGACAGTTTAGAAAAGACAATTGTGAAAATGGTTTAATGTGAAATCCTTCTCCTTTTGGATTCATGGAGAAGGTGTGTTTACCTGTGATCCAGGAGGCTCTATGAAGAACCTGAAGGAAGATAGGAAGGAGCTAAGCAGAAACCAACTCTTCCTCTTGGAACAATTTTAACTGCGGTGTTACCAAGCAACTTTTATGAAGAGAGCTTTAGAAAGAGTCTGTGAGAAGCTAGAGCTCCAGTCAGTGTATTGCGTGGAGAGTATTTCCAAAGTTTATTGAGGAAAGAATAAAGAGACAATCATTCAGTATATCCCCTGAGTTGAATGGTTCAAGAAGGGATGAATAAATTGGCCTGTGGAGTTGTGCCTGAGGCACAATTTGGGATCCTCTCCTCCTTCTGCAGGGACTTTGCTGGCTTACTGTGACCC